CCTGCAGTGAGGGGGCTGGGGGACAAAAAGGGACGAGGGAAGGTTTCGCTAAGTGTTTCTGTGTGTTTGTGCTTAGGTCGCAGCCTTCCCAGCCCCGCAGAGGTGCCTGTTGCAGAGGAGCTGCTTACTTTGGCCTCACCCGAGAGGCCTCAGCCCAGGGTAGAGCAGCCCTGAACACTGCCCTGTTTGTACTTCAGGAAGGGGCGTTTGTGGCCGTCCTGTCACTTTGGGAGCAGGCGAAAGAGCTGATGGTTGTTTTTCTCCCCCAGCCCTCACATGTTTGTCTTTGCACAGGCAGGAGCCAGCCAGTGCCTGCTGCGGGGGACTCTCCAAGCAGGAACCCACCTTGTCCAGATATGTGCACAGCAGCAGGTAACCCCCACACCGCTGGTGTGCCTCTGAGGGGACCTCGGGCTGGGGAGGTGGCACTTTTTAGATGTCACCACGGAGTGGCTCAGCCATTGCACTTGCTCAGCAGGGCAGGAGCATCTGCTCACCCTGTGCAGGTACCCCATGCTGAGGGGCAAAGCCAGCAGTAAAGATGGACCTGAACTCAGTCTTAGCTGCCCTACCTAAAAGTCCCTGTGGTCTGTACAGGGCCATGCGGGTGCCTCCGTGCTCATGTCTCCATGTGCAGAAGCTGGTGCCCACAGGAACAGGGAGTGCTGCCAGCTCCCACGATTGCTGGCATTGCCTTGAAGCCCAGGGCCTGGGAACTTGAGATTTTGAACAGAATGTTATTCTCCCAAAGTCACAGAGTAAAGCTGGGGCACATAAGAGAAAAGCTGAGAGGGCAGCGTGCCCCTCCTGCTCCCCTGAGAAGGAGGGGACACCACCACCTCCCGTGGGCACAGGCAGGACAATGCTGTGTTGTCACTGTGAGCAGGTTACAGCAGGTTTGGTTTGACCTGGCCCTGGGCTGTTGTGCATAACTGTGATGCTCTGGGGACTGGGAACGGTGGGCTGGGGCACGATGCTGCCTCCATGTGGTCTGGTCCATCTGGAAACCCCAGTGGAGGTGGAGAGAACAGAGGTGAGGGGTGCTTCTCGTGCCCCTTGAAATCTCCTTTGCTGTGGGCCACTAAGTCCTCCTTGGAAGCAGGGAGAGGTGGGAGACAGCTGCTGGTTGGTGACTTGCAGCATCTCTGAGCCACACTGGTGGTGCCAGCAATGGTGGTGGCAAAGCTAAGCCCCTCTAGGAGATGCCAGCACAGCAGCTATAGCCCCCCACGGGGCACCCAGCCCCCAGACAGGGGGATCACCCTGGCACTGGCTCCGCACCCTTGGCAGTGCCAACCCGGTGCCAAGACCCAGAGGGCCCGGAGCCTACTTGGTGCTTGGGAAACCTCCACGGGCTCCAGCGTGAAGCAGCTGGAGCACCGTGTCCCCATAGGAGGGGACAGTGTGTGCCCTGCCACGGTGTGAACGTACCACCCACAGTCCAAAGGGCAGCTCAGCCCTGCACGGGTGGCCCAGACTTTGCCTGCAGGGGAATGACTCACCTGCACACAACAGTCCTAGACCGGCCACGGGGCCTGCCATGGGACTGGCCACGTCACCATCCGTACCTGCCGGTCAGAGGGGAACTTGTGCCATGGAGTCACCCCTCAGCCCTCCTGGGGTTACGTGGCCCGTGGGGCTCGCTTGGCAGAGAGAGCAGTAGCTAAGGTCAAGGGTGCCAAAGGGTGCCCTTTGTGAGCATCTTAATTCCCACTCTGGATTCCATGCAACAAGACCTCAATCACTCCACAATTAGGTGTCCCCAAGTGCCACTAGCTTCTGGAGAGGCTGTAAGATGGCAAGTGCTTTGAGACCCCCTGCTGAAATGCAGGAATGAGGAGCTGGATGCCACGGCACCACAAACTCTGTATATGTTGAGGACCTGCTGGCTTGGCTGTCCCCTGCCCTTTGCAAAGGATTTGTTTAGTGTCTGCTGGGCTCCGAAAGCTAAAGCTGTTTGGAACTAAGTCTGGAAAAGGTGACAGGCTGGGACTGAAATAGCTGTGACTGATCTAGGCCTCCGCTGGAGATATCTGAATATCAAAGTATGGAGGGCACTGCACCCCCCCAGCACCGCACCGCGGGGCTGCCTCCAGGTGTGTCTGCTTCTCCTCAGAGTGGGACCATCGCTTGTGCTGCAGAGAAGTAGGCTCCAGTGTAACTAAACAGCACACCCTGCTCAGGCTTTGAGCTTGCCTGAGGCTACGTGGAGGATTGCAGATCCTGCACCTCTCCATGTCCCTTGGCTGGGGCTTTTCTCCTGCATCCACCCCATCCTCGTCACCCCGCAGGTGACAGGGCTACCCCAGCTGCAAGTCCATAATGGCCCCGGCAGCTCTGCAGGCTGCCTGGTGGTGTGGGCTCCGTCCTTCTTGCTGTCTCTGTGTGGTGAGCGGTGCCTGCGAGGGTTGTGCTGTGTGTCCTGGGTTGCTGCGGTGGAACCGGGCCCCTCCATGGGCCTGGGGTGGTGGCACTGGATGGGGCTGCCTGTGAGCTCAGCTATGGACTCTGGGGCTTGGTTTCTCTGCCAGACGATCCCCCAGCCTTCCCCTTTCACCCTGGAGCCAAACCCTCCCCCTGCAGGAATGTTTTTCGTAGGGGGGGAGGTTGGCGCAGCTCCAGCTGCTGCATTTTTCCATGCCCAGAGACTGTCTCCTGCCTTAAATGGCCCCATAACATGGGCAGCGTCTGCTCTCCTGCAGTCACCTATTTAAGGGTTTTTTGGATCCAGACCCCAGCACGGAGTGGGATGACACCAGCCCAGCACCCCGCAGCTGGGCTGAGCCCTGTGAGGGGCTGCTGGGGCATGTGGGGCTGGTTGCCCTGTGGTCCCCCCGCAGCAATATGCCATGGGAGAGGCCAGTGCTGCTCCAGCTCTCCAAGCATCTCCCTTCCCTGTGTGCAGGTCAGATTTCCTATATCCAGGTCCACATCCTGGTTTTACAGGGACCTGGGCCACGTGGCAGCGTGTGAGCCAGCAGCAGCATCCCCTGCACAGAGACACCCTTGCTGTGGGCAGCCTGTGCCACCAAGAGATGCTCCTGGGCTCCTCCAGGCACAGTTCCTGCCCATGGCCTTGAACCAGCTGCCCCTGAGCCCTCCTGCCCTCCATAGCATCTTCCACCACCCAGGAAGCCTCCCTGCAAGCTCAGGTAAGGGATGCTCTATCCCTTCCCCTCTATCTACAGGCTCAGTGAAGGCCACACTGGCCCCAGCCACATGCCACAGCGCTGGTGGTGCAGCCAGGGTGGGGAGCATGCCACAATCCCCATGGGTCTCCATCCCAAGGCTGGACAGTGTGGGAGCACCAGGAGCTGCTGGCAGGGATGTCACTGGTTTCAGTGTCAGAGCTCCCTGTCCCAGGCAGGTCACTTTCAAAGCACAACCTGCCTTGTGGAGTGGAACCTGCTCCAGGGTGCCAGCCAGGACCTTGCTTGAGACCCCATGGTGGCAATTCCTGGGTGAATGGCCTTCCCAGGACTGAGAGGACTTCAATGCTGGTGAGTCACTGTTTCCCCTCATGGCAGGATCCCAGGGACATGGGGGACAGGCTGGGTAAGACACGGGGGCTTGCAGGGGAGAAGAAGGGTGGTGGGAAGGGAGGCAGAGCAGCCAGGGAAGGGGGAAGCTAGTACCCTCCCAGGCAACCAGCTGAGACAAGGAGGTACCAAGGCTGCTGGAGCAACCCAGCGATGCTGCTCAGGGCTGGGGAGAGTGGCCCAAGAAATTGGGATTGGGTCTGAGGAGCCCAGGCTGGGCCAGCATCTGCTGGGGTGAGGTCTGGGATTTTCTGAGCCTGTCGCCGGGGGAGAAGGATGGGAAAGCTTCTGTGGAGCTGGGAAGGAGAACAGCGATGTGGGAAGGCACACGCTTGCAGAGAAATGACCTCTGGAAGACACAGCCTCTGGGGCGGCTGTGAAACTGAGCTCCTTCAGTCCTGGCATTCCCCGGCGGTCAGCACAGACCGGTGAAGTCCTGTGGCAAAACGCCCTCCCCACCGCCTGTGCTGGGCTCCATGGAGAGGGACAGGCTGAGCCGGCTGGGGTCTTGGCCAGACCCAGGCCAGTGGGTCAGTAGGGTCCTGTTTTTACGGAAACTCCATGGAGTTCCCTCCCCATGGAGGTCAAGCTGTCACTTAGTGGAGAAGTTTTTTGGGTTTTAGCCTGATTTAAAAAAAATAAAAAAAAATCCCTAGGAAACTGCAGCCAAAAATGACATCAACAGAGCGCTCTGTCAGCTGTGGGGTGCTCCAAGTGGGATGAGTCCAAGCTTCAGCTGCCCAGGTACGCTCAGCCCAACCCTCAGCTACACGTGGCATGTCCCTAACACACAGACACAGGGAAGAAACCAGACACTGGAGGTAAAAAAACTAGAACCTGCCTGTGGGGCCTGAGCGTGGGTTGTCGTGGAAGCTGGAAGGTGAATAATGTCCAGAATTCAAGATTCAGGAGTGAGGAGGGTCTTATGGTTCACATGAGTGCCCCCGAGATGTGGCAGAGCAGTGCTGGCACTCTAGAACAAAGTTTTGCTGAGTGTTTTCTGACTCTGTTCCCCTTTGTTTAGCCCCGAATTTGAAGTGTGGGGATGGGATATGAAATGCTGACCCAGCTCTGCCACAGCCGGTGAAAAGGCACCAAGAGCTGCAGGTGGCAAAACACTGAAAAACCCAACTCCCTGTACAGGACAAAAGCATCATACCATTGGGGAGAGCTGGTAGCCAGGGTGGTGGAGCCACAGCTGGAGCCACAAGCCAGCTCCTTGGCACCATCTTTCCATCGCCCAGAGCCTCATGTGGCATCTGCTTCTCTCCCCTTGCAGCTCTGGGACATGCAGCAAGAGGTGCAAAGGGACCTGGAGTTTCCTAATGAGGTTTTTACCTTCTGCCCAGGGGATATTTTTGATCTTTAGCTGTGTAAGTGCAAAGCAAGCCAAAATTAGATGGGGACACCAGGTGAAACAGTGTATGCAAATGGGCTGGCTTTTATAGGAAGTATATCTGGGGAAAAACTTGTCATGGATGGGTCAAAAGAGGTTGTAAATCACTGCTCTAGCTTGGTGCACTGCGAAAGGATCCACCTCTGCGCTCACCCTCCCATTTGACTAGAAAAGAGGTATTTGTTCAAACACAGCATGGCCTCAGCCTGGAAACACAGCAGCTTCGTGGGAGATATTCACCACAGGCGCCCTTCCTGCCCTCTTCCCATGAACATCTACCTGAAGCCCCCAAGCAGGAGCCCGCGTGCTTGGGAAGAGTGCTGCAATATCAAGTCGAGGTATGTTTTATGCTGCTGGGAAACCCCAGCCCATGCAGTGCTTTTCCCTGCAATATGAGCTCATACTATCCCAAAACACAGGGAGGGGAGTCCCCTGAGCCAGGCCCTGCAGGACGTGCACGTTCCCGTGCAAGCCCGTGGGTCCCCGAGGAGTGCCGCTCCCCACCACCGGTCACCCCCTCACCCACCTCCCTGTTTTTAAATTTCTTGCAGGGAAGGAAGGAGCCAGGTGGGAATTTGGGTTATTTTAGTGCTCGGCAAAATGGGAAGGGAAGCAGCTGAGCCCATGGCATTCCCTGTCCGTGCCCAGCCAGCCCTTCTCGTCTCTCACCCCCGCTGCTTGCATCTGCTGCTCCGGCAGAGGCTGTGCTGCACTCCCTGCTGCTCTGGGGCCCCAACCACCTTCCCAAGCCCGGGGGGGGCTCTTGGTTTTGGTTTTGTGTTGAGCAAGCCACGGATGTGCCATCCTGCCACATCACATGCTTGTGATGTTGCTCACTTTGGCCTCAATTTGCATGGGTACAGTGAGGAAACCCAGAGCCCTGTTTCACCAGGTGCTTTCCCGGCCCCTCTGCTCGCCCTCAGCACTTATGGGCAGTTTCAGCCCACGCCATCCTCCCAGAAATAAAGCCCCCAAAAAGCCTTTACACTTCTGTCATGAAGTTTTGCCATTTCTCAGTTTCTGTAGTGAGATTTGCTTTCTCTTTTCCCGGGGGGGGGGGCTCACAGCCAGCAGCTGCTGGGAAACAGCCGGGGGACCAGCAGGCGCCCACCACAGCAGTTCCCCCTGTGGGACAACCACTGGTCCCAAACCACATTTCCATCATGCGACCAAGAGTTAATTTTGATTTCTCTGTTTCTCAGCTGTCAGAGGCTGTTTGGACTTTCCCCGCCCCATCAACTTCCCCTGGATGGCAAGAGCAGCAGCTCCTGGGCTGCCACCTGCACACCACGCTTAGCGTTGACTTCTCCACAGGGCAGTGGCCTCTGCACCGTGGGCACGGCATCAAGCCAAGATGCTGCTGAAGGTCGTTCCTTGAATGCCTGCCAGCTGGACTAGGGGAAGCTGGTGGGTCCTTTTTCCTTAAAGCCATTTTCCATTCGCTCCCAAGCACCGGCTGTAGGAAATGGTGGGGTTTGTCGTGCGAGGGCTCTGTGGTCCCAAAACAGCACCGGGAGATGTTGTGGCTTCCCACTCCACCCTTGCTGGGCATCCCTGCTGGAGTAATGTCCTATTTCTAGGCAAAGTTAAAATTCAAATGAAGCCATGTGAAATAGGCAAACCAAGTACGAGTATTTTCAAAAGTGGAATTCCCATTTCAGTTAATTTTCTTCATCTTACTTAAAGTTTTGACTTTCAGGTTTTGAGCCACTAAAGAAGGAGCTCAGAGCCAGGCAGAAGAAATCTCTCTCCAGACCTGGCTGTGACTCCCCGAGAGCCACGTGAGGAGTCTGAACCTGCTGCAGGTGGTCCCGGCCCCAGCTCTGTCCGTGCTTTTGGGAGCCACGGGACTGCCCCACCATCTATCCGTGCCAGATTTCAAGGCTCTTTCAGGCGGGAGAAGGGCTGGCTGGCTGGAGATCAGAGCAGTCGCTCTCCTACACTAGGTCACACAGCCCCTGCCAAGTGTCACTGTGTGCCATCGTCCCTGCCCTGCCTGCCAAGAGGAGAGCTGCCCGCCGCTCCTCGGCGCCGTCACACACCACCGCGCTGGCCCACGTTAAGTCAACCTAATGGGGCTCTGCACAGAGCAAGCGTTTCAGTGACCCGGCCTGTGGGCACCCACGGTCTGATCGGCTGGTTGCTGTGACCGTGGCAGCAGCCTGGTGTGGTGTCCCACGTGTTTTTGGGAGCAAGAATTGGCATCTGTTGAGGGGGATGTCTGGGACCCATGTTTGTCCCTGTGGGACAGAACGGCAGCCCCACCATCAGAGGCGTGACACGAGCAGCATCTCCGGTTCAAACTCCTCTGATGGCTTCTGCTGCCTCGGTCCAGGGGTGCAACCTTGCAGCAACCCTCCCCCAAAATCCAGTATCATAGAGAGAGTTTATTGAGTGATGAAGGAGCAATTACCAGCTCAGCTGGAGGCAGAGTTGCTCCTGTTTGGTTTTGCAAGAAGAAAGACTCCCACCTCTTTTTATTTTTTTTTTTTTGTTCCCTGTGTTCCTTCTCGGGGGGAGCTGCAAAATAAAAAAAAAGAAATTCAGAATTTAAAAAAAAAAGTTTTACACTGGTTTGCTGGATTCTCTCCTGCACATGGTTAACGGTTCATCTAAAGTCAGAGGAAATTCTCTGAAGCAATCTTGCAATTTACAGCTTTTCCTTTACTAAATAAGAAACGGTCCGGAAATTAAACAGGAAATTGTGTCTGGAAGGAACAAAAGTTGCGTTGTCAGAACATGCTTACGGAAGATTTACTTTATTTTAACCAGTAAGGAGCCAAGATCAATAGTCAGAAGAGGAAGGAGTTTGTGTGAATTAAATCACATGTGAAAAAAACCAAGCACTTGGGGAAAACAAGAAGTCTTTGTAAAGAGCAGATCGGGATGAATGGGAGAGAAGGCTTAGCATGAGCAGCAACCAAATGCTGGAAAGTGCTGAAAGACAAAGGCCCAGGGTGTAACCCAGGATCAGGTGTCTCTCCAGAAGTCAAACGTTGCTCCATGGCCTCGCTGCCCAAATCTCTGGGAAATACTCTAGTCTGTATAACATACTAGGTCTGTTTGAGTGACCTAGACCTGAAACAGACAAGCATTGCCCCATCGCTGTGCAGGGTTTGAGGGTAAAACAGAAGCACATTTTTTTTCCCTCCCATTCAGAAACATGCCACTGAGCTGCCCCTTGGGTGGCCACCTCCAACACCTCCTAGCTGGGGTGCCACACACCACAACACACCTTTTATTCCCAGTCAGCACAGCGATGCTCGTATCGCTGCCAATGTGACTGGTTGGGCTTTGCATGCTCAGAGTCTCCTGCGGCTGCACATCAACAGGGCAGGCATGGAGAGTCCTCCCTGCCCAGGGGACGCAGGTACAGGTACCATCAGGTGACATGGTGGCTGGAATTCAGCCCCTCGGCAGGGACTAACTAACCCTTTGTGAGAACTGCACCAGCTCGCCTCATCCTGGGATTTGGCCAAGAGAAATTTGGCCGAGAGCAAGCCAAACCCCTGCTGAAAACGGGCAGTGCTTTTTGAGAATCTCATGCAAGTATTTGCTCCCAGGTAACTCTACGGTACATTGGGCTTTGGGTTAATTATGGGTTGGTGTTGGGAGATTGGGTAATCTCTCATATTTTTTTTTTTTTACCATTATACTGCTCGTTTTATCAGTGGTTGAGAAACAAGCTTAGCAAGCGCTGGTATGTGGCTATGTCAGAGGTGATGAATCGAAACCTCTGTGTGGCTGATGGCATCATGCTCTTTTGGTGGCTTCCTGTACCCACTGCTGACTGACTCAAAGGGGCTTTTTCTCCAGGATCCTGACCGGTCACTCTAATGGTTCCTCTGAAATGATCCATCATCTGTGACAGCTCTTTAGCTGTGTTTGGTCTAAGCTGTATGTGATTAATCCCCAGCTGGTAACGGGACTGTGGCATGTGGGAGCTGTGCCAGCTGAGAGCAGCCGTATGGACCGAGCAAGTGTGGCTTCACAGCCTTTTCCTCTCCTCTTGGGGAAAAGCTTTTGGCAAGGAAGAATTACTATCCTGAGAGCGTGAGAGAGGCTGACAAACGGAGACATTCCCAGCTGTATGCTGGGGCATGGCCCTGAGCAAAGCACCTCCTGCCAGCACCGAGCAAGTGCTCTGGCTGGAAAGACTTAGCAATGGCTTAGCAATGGGTTAATAAATGTTTACCAGCTCTTCTAGCAGACAGCTAAGCCGTTTATTTAAATTCCTACTGCTTCACGGATGGATTTCTCTACTGCTCAGGTCCAGGCCATCCCCAACACGCAGAGTTTGTGGCTGAGGCTGTGTCAGTGGGATGGGGAAGTGCTCTCTGCCTGCTGGCTGAAGTGGCCATGGGTGAATCCTCCAGTTGGAGGCAGGATGCTGGGTGTGCAGGTGTATGCTTTGCCATCTCCCCGTGCAGACACAGTGCTCTCATTTGAAAAGGAAGGTACCATAACGCTGGCAGCATCCCTGAAGGAGACGAGTCCTCCATGCCTCCCTGGTGTCATGTCCCAGCAGGAGGCAGAGGGAGGCAGCTGCAGCCAAAGCTCGAGTTGCCCTGCCTCTCTGTGGCACCCTCCGGCCCCAAAAGGGGGAGATTTGGGGCACCCCCTGACATGGTTTAACAGCTGTGGGTGGGATGTGGGCTGTTGCTCCCACAGCTTGGGGAATTTCCCACCTCCCAGAGGCCGTTACAGAGGCATACCCCGGGCACCGAGGCTTTCTGCACCCATGCTGTTCTGGGCATGGCCCTGCTGTGGGTCCCTGGAGGCACACCCGGGCCCTCTGCACTGCATCTCTACTCATAACCCTCCCAAGGACAGTCAGATGTCCCCACAGCCACAGATCCATGCTGCCACTGTGCCCATGTCTTTGCCACAAGGGTTTCTGCAGCCTTTGGCAGCGCTGGAGCTAAGGTGCTGGCTCACACCCCGATGGTGCCACAAAGCAGCTCCTCGGTGTTTTCCAGGACTCGCCTCAGTCCTGTAACCGGTCAGGCAGCTCCTGTGTCATCCCTGCTCTCCTGGGGTGACAGACCTTGCCAAGGAGTTGAGCGGTGCTGGGGCAGCTGGGCTCACCACTGACCCACTGGGAGAGCCACCAGCGGGCTCTGCGGCGGGCACTCAAACCAGGGACACAAAGCAAAGGCGCTCGCTATCAGAGCCACCCTCCTGGCCACTTTCATCTCCGTATAATCCGTACCGTGGTTGAGTGAGCCCATTTTCCTTTCCTAGAGGTTCACGTTAAATCGCCCGGGCTTGTTCCAAAACCTACCAGTGACTTGCAAAGGAATTTCCTCTCATTCAACCTAACGAGTCACAGCCTTGTCCAGCGGCTCCAAGGCCAGCTTCTGGATAAGCTACAAGGTATAGGGCAGTGGGTGCTGCTTTGCCCTCCTGTGCTGTTGTCCCCCCATTTTCCAAAGAGACACAGCATGGATCTGCCTGGGATGTTCCTGTGACAGCCCCCTCCTCGGGCACTGCAGGGCAGGCTGTTTCTGTCACAGGGCAACCCACAGTTTGCTGGCTGGGGGCGTTTAAACCCCAGCCTGTGTGGGGATGGGGCACAAAGCCGGAGCTTCTCCCTTTTCTCTTCTCCTCAATGTATTGGCACGTAGGCCTGTCTGCTGTCTGTGGCACACATAGCTCTCGGAAGGGTGGGGGGATGCCAAGTGTTAATGAAAGCACAAAATTACGGGGTGAAAAAATCAGGAAAAGAACAGACACAAAGAATCTCCAGAGGTCTCCACTGCCGGCTGGGAACATTTACCCGCAGATGGCTGACTCCAGTCACGCCATCCTGCAGCTTGGCAGCACCAAGCTGAGCCCTGCAGGCACCCCATTCTGTTTGGGAGCACCCCTGGATGGCCGTAAGGGCCAGCTGATGGGGCTGAGGCTGAAGCTCCTTTGGGAAAAACAGCAGCTGTGGCCTGGGAGGGCCCTGCTCCTGTGAGGATTGCTGTGATTCACACCCCCTCCCGTGACTCCCTCCAGGCAAAGCTGTTCTTCCTAGTTCAGAGTCCTGACATGTGCACGTTTCCAACGCGGCATGCCCGTGACTAATCCGTCTGTGCCTTTCGGGGCTGCCGTAACGCCCTGTGGGCTGGGAGAGCGGCACACGTTGCTGCTTGCTGCGGCCGCCCATCACACTGTGGCAGCAGGAACACCAATCCCAAGGCTGTTTTTTTGGCAAGAGTAAGCTGCAAGGATGGTTTTCCTGGCTACTGTAGCTCAACGTAAAGCCCACCTTGCAATGCCATGTTTCAGATGGGCAGATTTAGGCCTGGCTATCTAAAAAGTCCCTATTGTTTCGGTAATAACTGTTGTGTTTTTCTATCAGTCTGTGCAAACAGATCAGTACTAGGTAAGGCACCTCTCTTCCATCCCACGGTGGGATGCCAAGATCACACTTAGATCTGCCTGGCCTGTATTCCCCCAAGCACCTCCCAGAAACACTCCCCCAGCCTCAGCCATCAGATCAAAGGCAGTGCCAGGGAGGGAAACAGGGAAGGTCTGTGAAGCCAGCTGCGGGGCTGCGCAGAGAAGCTGGGCTAACAAAGCTTGGCCAGGCTGCCAGGTCCCAGGCACGGCTCCAAGGAAAGCGCTCCCTGTGCGGGCCTCTGGACACGCCTGGCTGGCTGCCGGGTAAAACCTGGCTCGGCTCTTCCTCCGACAATGAATAAATAGGCACAAAAAAACTTAAACATTTCTGTGGCACCCCTTGTGCTGATAAACACGGGCCAAGCCGCCATCTGGCTGCCATCCGGTGAAGCCTGAGCCCAACAGCCCCTCATAGGCTCCCTCAGGCCGCCCGCAAAATGGCGGCGACGACCCTCGGGCGGTAGCAGACCCCACCGCATCGCGCGTCTGAACTACAGCTCCCAGAAGCCCCCGCGCCTCGCCCCGCTGGAAAATTGCGTTCTTCCGCCCACTCCGTGGCTGTTGTTCCGCTGGGGGCCTCGGCCAGCACCAATCAGCGTTCGATTCTATGGGGCAACCAGTAGAGAAGCCTGATCAAAAAAAATAAATTTAAAAAGCTGTCATGTGGAAGGCGCCGTTCCTTAAAATATCACTCGCATCGGAGGGAATGACGTTCATCGCGCGCCCCGCGGCTCCCGGATTTGCTGTTAGCCGTCAGGTACTACTACGGCAATTTCCCTTGAAAGGCTTGTTTCACACGGGCACCTCAGAGGGGGTCCTTGAGGGGGAGGGGAAAGAGAAGGCCGCTCTCTTGATTCGCCGCCGCTCTGGCGGCGGAGAAGCCAATCTGCGCCAGCAACCGGTGCTGGGGGGCGGGGCCTATCCCCAGGCTCGCCGGCCATTGGTGGAGACGGAAGCGAGGGGGCGTGGCCGGAGCGACAGGGAGGGTGACGCGTATCCTTCCAGCTCAGCGCGT